TAAAATCCCAAAATCCCAACGGGAACATTAAAAATCCCAATGGGAACCTCAAAAATCCCAATGGGAACCTCAAAAAATCCCAATGGGACCCTCAAAAATCCCAATGGGAACCTCAAAAATCCCAATGGGAACCTCAAAAAATCCCAATGGGACCCTCAAAAATCCCAATGGGAACATCAAAAATCCCAATGGGACCCTCAAAAATCCCAATGGGAACATCAAACATCCCAGTGGGAACATCAACAATCCCAAAATCCCAGTGGGAACATCAAAAATCCCAATGGGAACATCAAAAGTCCCAATGGGAACATCAAAAATCCCAATGGGAAACCCCAATTCCCAATGGGACCCTCAAAAATCCCAATGGGAACCTCAAAAAATCCCAATGGGAACATCAAAAATCCCAATGGGACCTTCAAAAATCCCAATGGGAGCATCAAAAATCCCAATGGGAAACCCCAATTCCCAGTGGGAACCTCAAAAATCCCAATGGGAACATCAAAAATCCCAAAATCCCAATGGGAACATCAAAAATCCCAATGGGACCCTCAAAAATCCCAATGGGAACATCAAAAAATCCCAGTTGGAACCTCAAAAATCCTGGTGGGAACATCAAAAATCCCAATGGGAAACCCCAATTCCCAGTGGGAACCTCAAAAATCCCAGTGGGAACCTCAAAAATCCCAGTTGGAACCTCAAAAATCCCAATGGGACCCTCAAAAATCCCAGTGGGAACATCAAAAATCCCAAAATCCCAATGGGAACATCAAAAAATCCCAGTAGGAATCTCAAAAATCCCAATGGGAACATCAAAAATCCCAATGGGAAACCCCAATTCCTAATGAGAAACCCGAAATTCCCAATAGGAAAGGCAAAATTCCTGATGGGAACCCCAAAATTCCCGATGGGAACCCCAAAATTTCCAATGGGAACCCCAAAATTTCCCTCAGGAACTCCAAATTTCTGACTGGGAATCCCAAATTCCCACTGAGAACCCCAAAATTTTTCCCCAGGAACTTCAAATTTCCCAATGGGAACATCAAAATTCCCCCTGGGGACCCCAAATTTCCCCCCAGAAACCTCAAAATTCTGCCTGGAAACCCCAAAATTACGACTGGGAACTCCCAAATTCCACTGGGACCCCCCAAATTCATCCTGGGAACCCCAAAATTCCCTCCTGGACACCCTAAATTCTCTCTTGGATCCCCAAAATTCCTCCTGGACCCCCAAAATTCCCTCCTGGGACCCCCAAAATTCCTCCTGGACCCCCAAAATTCCCTCTTGCATCCCTCAAACTCCTCCTGGACCCCCCAAATTCCCTCCTGGACGTCCCAAAATTCCTCCTGGACCCCCAAAATTCCTCCTGCATCCCTCAAACTCCTCCTGGACCCCCAAAATTCCCTCTTGCATCCCTCAAACTCCTCCTGGACATCCCAAACTCCTCCTGGACCCCCCCAAATTCCCTACTGTGACTCCCAAAATTCCTCCTGGAGCCCCAAAATTCCTCCTGGAGCCCCAAAATTCCCTCCCGGATCCCCCAAATCCCCTCCAGGACCGCCCAAATCCCCCCCGCGCCGCGCCGCGGATTCCAGAGCCGTTGGATTTCCCAGGAATGTCCGGGAATGCTCCGGGTGTGACTCAGCGCGGGGGGGACAGGAGGGGGACACGTCCCGAGGGTGTGGCCGCTGTCCCCCCCCCCTTTGGGGACACCCCGGTGACTCACGGGGGGGGCGGTCCCGTAGCCCCTCCCCAAGGGGGCCCTGCCTCAGTTTCCCCCATCCCTCCCCCACCGCCTAAAAAAACCGAAAAAAAGGAGGAAACTCCCCCAAAAGTGACCGCCGGAAAAAGGGGAACCGCCCCAAAAAAACGGGAAACCGCCCCAAAAAGGGAAAAAGCCCGCCCCAAAAGGAGAATCCCAAAAATAAGAGGGATCCCCGAAAAAAGGAGGAACTCACAAAATGATCCCCCCCCCAAAAAAAAAGGGGGAACCCCCCCCAAAAGCGACCGCAAGGAAAGGGGGGCACACCCAAGAAAGGAGATTCCCCCCCCAAAAAAGGAGGAACCGTCAGCAAAAGTGACCCCAAAGGAAAAGGGAACCGCCCCAAAAAGGGGGAACCCCCAAAAAAAGGAGGAACCGCCCCAAAAGTGAATTTCCGCAAAGGGTGGGACCCCCCCAAAAGGGGGTTTGGGGTTAAGAGCCCCCCAAAGTGCGGGACAGGGATGGGGTGCCCCAAAGTGATGCTCAAGATTCCTCCCCGCCAAAATCGGGGTGCGAGATCGGGGTCCCCAAATTTGGGGTCAGGATTGATCCTCCCCAAAACGGGGTTTGGCATAGAGACCCCCCCAAAATCGGGGTGCGGGACGGAGCCCCCCTAAAGTGGGCTGAAGGATTGAGGCCCCCCAAAAAAGGGCACCGAGATGGGGTTCCCCGGGAGAGGGGCAGGGCAGGGGTCCCCAAAAAGGGGATTTAGGGATGGGGTTCGCCCTTTTTGGGGTGCAGGAGTGACCCTCCCCATTCCCGGGGCTGGGCGGGGGTCCCCCAAAGGGGGATTTAGGGATGGGGTCCCCCCGGTTTTGGGGTGCAGAAGCGATCCCCCATCAGAACAGTGACCCTCTCCGTTCTCGGGGTCGTCAGGGGGTCCCCAAAAAGGGGATTTAGGGATGGGGTCCCCCCTTTTTGGGGTGCAGGAGTGACCCTCCCCGTTCCCGGGGCTGGGCGGGGGTCCCCCAAAAGGGGGATTTAGGGATGGGGTCCCCCCGGTTTAGGGGTGCAGAAGCGGCCCCCCATCAGAACAGAGTGACCCTCCCCGTTCCCGGGGCTGGGCGGGGGTCCCCCAAAAGGGGGTTTAGGGATGGGGTTCCCCGGTTTTGGGGGTGCAGGAGTGACCCCGGTT